CACTAAGACAGATAATGGGCTTGTTCCCATTACCTGCCATAATATTATCCAACCTGCTGACTATGTTGCCAACACCAGCTCCAGGAAGACGCACTCTCTGTCTGACTTTTCTGTCTCTGTTACAAAATGCACAGTCCATATATCTTACCTGAGAATCGCCTACTATTAAAATATTCTTACCTTGATTAGCAGGGGAATTAGTGGAACCTTCAACCTCACTAACCACTGAAGTACACTCGTCTTGGAGAACAGAGAATCGATTTCCTACCTTCACATCTTCTCTAACTCTCATCTTCCTTCTTCCAGAACTGTGAACCACTTGCCACTTAAAGCAGCTGCCACTCTCACTGCTGGTGACCATTTCCTCCATACCAGCTAAATCCACCAACAATAACAACAAGTATTGTATTTTGATGACTGCTAGATCCTAGATAATACAGTTCCTGGTCATAAGACTCGTAGAAGTTCGAGGAGGACGAGTTGTTTCTTCAGATCCTGTTAAGGCATGCTTAATGCGGGTAAAATCTTGGGTAGACATTTGGCAATGCCGAGCGCATTTTTTTTTTTTTGCATTAACGTTAAGTGGCTAGTTTTAAAATTTATAAATTTCTGTACTTTTCGTTAAAACTGTATCAGATCTGTCATGGTATGTATTCCACATAAAATTCCCTACGAGATAAGACCATTTGTACTCTTCTGAGACTTTTAACTGTGAATATTCAAGGAAAAAAAAAAAAACAAAGTAAAATAGCTTAAAAGATGTAACTAGATTTCAAAATTATTGACGAGGTAAATATTTTACCATATGATGATATCAAGAAGGAAGGGGAATTGATAAGCGTGTTGCAACCTATTGAAGGTTAAACAAACCAAAGTACATTGATATGGTCTTGCAGTCATGCTATCTCAAAAGCTAATGTTCCACTACAATATGTTGGTTTCCTCCCAGTTACTGACTTACCCAGTGACAGCATACAATAGTGTGTATTCTTGCATGAGGAACTATGAAAATTTGATTATACATCTGGATAAACGAGCACTGACAGTTGAATGTGATGAAGGTGTTTTCCATATTGCCGCAAAAATTCAGTTAGTTACAAACGAATTACCAGACCTAGTGCTACTCTAGTGGTCATTCCATATGACGAAAATTCTAACTGCATACATTAGAAAATACGTAAAAGACAGCATGCTGGAAAACGTGCTCATTGAAAACCATGTGTTTGGTACAAGAGAAACAGTGTTCTGAAAGGTACCATTTACGTTAGGCATGTGAATGGAATGTTTATGCTAGCAGAAGTTGTAGAGGCTGAAATGGAAAACATTTTTTAATACCATTGAAGATGATGCTGGATTGGCTACAGAAGATGGTGATAAACAAAACTCAAAAGAAGATGCACAACTCAAGTTCCAAGATCTGATCACAACATCAGAAGAAACATTGAAATTGTTGGATGTTTTCGCACAGAAAAAGTCAGAATTTCTGAGCAGTGCAAATATCTGGAGGGATTCTTGTATCTATTAAGTCTTTTCAAGAACCTTATAAGAGTGGACAGGGAGGGATTCAGTAACCTTTACCTGCAAATACTGAAGGAGGGCCTTCTAATTTTTCACAATTTTGAGGAAATACACTATTTCAGATGGAGTTCACTGTTCTTTGAGCAAATGGTGGATCTTGAGACTCATCACGCTGAGATATATGATCTGTTCAAGAAAGGGCATTTCGTTGTAAGGAGAACAATTGGCCAGTTTAATGCTATGGGTGTCGACATGGCTCTCAAACAGATAAATAAATCAGCCTTAGAAGTCAGCCAGAGGGATCATTGACTAAACAAAAAGGAAGGACTACACAGCTGAATGGAAGCTTTCTTACCTGGAAGTCCTCCACATAAGAAATTTCAAGAGTTACTGAACACTAAACCGGTTCATTACGAGCTGATAATGCATCACGAGCTAACAAGAAGCCTCAAAAATAGAATAGAAGCCAACATCCACAGATACTCTAGAAATATAAACACAAATGCAGTATAATGTGATCCTTTATTGACTACGTTTCGCCCACACCATGCTCTTTATCAAGTCACAAACAGATCTATCTGTTGACTTCATTAGAGACTGCAGACGCTGGGTATATAACATCTTCAGCTCACCTAGACAAAACTACCGAGAAGAAATACATATGCCTCCCCACCAACTCTGTTGCTAGACACATTTCCAACATCTTTTCCAATACCTCATTCCAAATATCTATCCCCACATCCACCACCATCAAGGATATCACCAGTAAGAGACACCACAAAGTTAATGCTCTGCATGGGCATTACCTAGAGTTTACTTGGAGGGGGTTTTGGGGGTCAACGACCCCGCGGCTCGTTCTGAGACCAGGCCTCATGATCGATCAGGGTCTGACCAACCCGTGTAGTCCTCCCTTTCATAGTTTGGCTTTTCCCATTCAACTCTTGTTACCCTCTCCACTTGCAACTCTACTGTGTATTCAAAGCTCAGAACCACGTGATCACTAGCTCCAAGGAGCCTCTCATATGTGATGTCCTCAATGTCTGAACTGCTCAGGGTGAACACAAGGTCCAGTCTTGCTGGTTCATCCTCCCCTCTCTCTGTGGTAGTGTCCCTGACATTTTGATGCATGGGGTGTTCCAGTACCACATCCATCATCTTGGCTCTCCATGTGGCTCCAGGTTTACCCAGTCGATCTCCCTGTGGTTGAAATCGCCCATAACCAGTAACTTTGCTCTGCTCGAGTGAGCTCTTCTTGCCACCTCAGCCAGTGTGTCCACCATTGCTTTGTTGTTCTCCTCGTATTCCTCTCTTGACCTCTTGCAGTTCTGTGGTGGGTTATACATCACTGCAATGGCTACCTTATGTTCCCCGGACTGAATTGTACCTACTTTGTAATCTCTTTCTCCAATCTCGTCTGTGCCTTCCATTTCCTCAAATCCACATCGGTTTTTTATGAGCAGTGCAACCCCTCCTCCCCCTCTGCTGCTTCTATCTTTCCTCAGGATCTGATATCCCAGTGGGAAGGTTGCATCTGTTATTGCCTCAGGGAGTTTCGTTTCTGTGACTGCTATAATGTCTGGGGACTTCTCATCAGCGTTCATGTACCAAACCTTCAACTTCTTTTCTATCACTGTGGTCCTGGGAGAACATTTGGGTTGGGGAGTGGGAGACCTGGCGGAGGGCTTATGGGGAGTTGTGGTGAGGGTGGGGTTTGTGATGTGGGGGGTGGGGACAGAAGGAACAGTGTGTGGGTTTTAGTTTAGATAGTTCAGTTGCACTGGGGTTGTTGTGGTTGGAGTCCTGCGGGTGTTTCTGGAGGGTGTGATTGCCCTTCCACTTGGGTCTGAGTTCTTCCCATCTTCATCATTGCCTCTCGTTCTTCCTTTGAAGTTCTAATATTCATTTTTTTACACAGATCAGTTTTACAAACAATGAGCGGCTGTCTTACCTATGTTCATTTCACAGCCCAGCCCTATCTAAGCTACCACCCCCAGGATGCATCTACAATAGTCGACTAACACCCAGGTAACCACTTACTGCTACGTGAACAGGGACAGCAGGAGTAAGCTGACTAACATCTAGGTACCTACTTACTATGTGAACAGGGACATCAGGAGTAAGGAAACATGACAAACGTTTATTTTTGTGTCAGGGGTCAAAAATGGAGACTCAGTATGTGAGTTGAGTGCGTTGCCAACCAAGTCACCGGACACCCAACTCATTCTACAATAATGTCTCCCTAACAGAGTTTTCATCAACGGGTTTGATTTATTTGCAAGAGATATGCTGTGAGGAAATAATGTAACTCGATACTATTTATGTTAAGGTAGCCAGACATAACAGCTGAGGTAGGTAGACAATATTATTAATGAGTCAGAATCCATTAATAAGGTGACAAACACTATTAATAAAGTGAAAGTTAAGACACATGTGCAACATCTGGTTATCTTTATTGTAGACGTTTCGCCATCCAGTGGCTTTATCAATACAGATTCTTGGATATAAGAAAAAGACAGTAGAATTATATACAAAAGATGATGTAATTAGTCCCTCAAGCTTGGAGTTTGTGTGGAGAGCACCGTGGTCGTAGAAATTCTGGAGCAAAGGTGCTTATATAGGTGTCAGCGAACAGGGACGTGTAGCAGACGAGGGCATGGTCACTGGTAGGCGGGATTTCCCAGTGGAAGTAGGTCATACCCAAAGGGATGGATTAGTTGTAGTAGCCGTGAAGAAGGTCATGTAGATGTCCTCTGAACCAGGATTCCATGATGATGCAGTGTCTGACAAGAAAGGTATACAATACCGACATACCGGTATTGTATATCTTTCTTGCACAACTTGTCCGACACTGCAATATCATGGAATCCTGGTTCAGAGGACATCTACAAGATCTTCTTCACGGCTACTACAACTAACCCATCCCTTTGGGTATGACCTACTTCCACTGGGAAATCCCGCCTACCAGAGACCATGCCCTCGTCTGCTACACGTCCCTGTTCGCTGACACCTATATAAGCACCTTTGCTCCAGAATTTCTACGACCACGGTGCTCTCCACACAAACTCCAAGCTTGAGGGACTAATTACATCATCTTTTGTATATAATTCTACTGTATTTTTCTTATATCCAAGAATCTGTATTGATAAAGCCACTGGATGGCGAAACGTCTACAATAAAGATAACCAGATGTTGCACATGTGTCTTAACTTTCATTTTGTCGGTATTGTATACCTTTCTTGCACAACTATTAATAAGATGATAGACACCATTAATAAGGTAACATACATTGTTAATAAGGGGGCAGAAACCGTTAATATCAGGGCAGCCAGACACTATTAATAAGTGGACACACACCATTAATAATAAGGCAGCCAGACACTATTAATAAGGGGACAGATACCAGTAATAATAGGGCAGCCAGACTCCACCTCGTGGAAATCAAATTTCATTAATGAAGGCAGGAAACACCATAAATAAATTACCGTAACAATGCAGGTCTCCTGGATGACTGGATGAGGATGCAGGAAAGGGAACTTCTCCTTCACGTATTCACTCACCATCTTCGTCATCTCTTCATCCCTCCCACCTGCGTCCCTCTCGTCTGGTGTCACCACTGCTCCCCCGGAGAACGTCAACTGTGGGAGGCAGGGCAAAGATAAGCAAGTGAGAGGAAAAAAGAATACGGAGAATTTTACATTAACATGACGCCTTAACCCACAGGACCACCCAGTCCCACAAAAACCAAGCACACAGCACAGAGCTATGTGTTTTACTTTGGTCAGAGAACATACGGAAGTGTGGGAGCTTTCAAGCTAATTTTATTCTCATCCCTATTTGGTGTACTAGCCTGTGTGCAGTATTTATGTATTTTTGTAACCATGAACGAGTGGTATTGATCAATAACAACACTGCACTAGCCAAGGATCCGAACCCATGTACTGGCCTGCCATTGTGAATTACAATAATATATAAATGCTGCTCGTAAGCTAGTACACCAAACAGGGATGAGAATGAAAATAGCTTGAAAGCTCCCACACCTCCGTATGTTCTCGGACCAAGGTAAAACACATAGCTCTGTGCTGGGTGCTTGGTTCTTGTAGGACTGGGTGGTCCTGTGGGTTAAAGCATCATGTGGTTCTCGCTCACAATGGCAGGCCAGTACAACATGGGTTTGGATCCTTGGTTCATATATATATATATATATATATATATATATATATATATTATATATATATATATATATATATATTAATATATATATATATATTTAACACACTGGCCGATTCCCACCAAGGCAGGGTGGCCGGAAAAAAGAAAAACTTTCACCATCATTCACTCCATCACTGTCTTGCCAGAAGGGTGCTTTACACTACAGTTTTTAAACTGCAACATTAACACCCCTCCTTCAGGGGTGTTAATGATGTAACCAGAGAACTTACTTTGAAGGTACCATGGTATCTGCAATGAAGAAGGCAGTTACTGATCTTAAATGGACAAGGTCTCACGTTCACTAGGCCAAGGCACTAACCTTCACGATGCTAGGGCATTAACATTCACGAGGCCAAGGTACTAACCCTCACAAGGCCAGGATACTCACCTTCACGAGGCCAGGGTACTCACCTTCACAAGGCCAGGGTACTCACCTTCACAAGGCCAGGGTACTCACCTTCACGAGACCAGGGTACGCACCTTCACGAGGCCAGGGTACGCACCTTCACAAGGCCAGGGTACGCACCTTCACAAGGCCAGGGTACTCGAGCTCAGGCAGACCATAGGCGTATCCACTGGATTCCTGCAAATCAATGAATGTTGTGGTGGTGAAGGCTGGATCTTGTATGCGCCAGTACAACACTGATGACCTCTTCACTCTGCAATGATCACACTCACATAACTACCATTATTTTAACCATTCTCCAGTGATTATATTATCATAACTACCATTATCTTAACCACCCTGCCATTATCTTAACTACCCTGCCATTATTCTAACTACCCTGCCATTATCTTAACCACCTTGCAATAATCATACTCACATAACTATCATTATCTTAAGCATCCCGCTATGATCATACTCATAACTACCATTATCTTCACCACCCTACCATGATCATACTCTCATAACAACCATTATCTTAACCACCATGCCATGATCAGGCTCCCGTAACTACTATGTGAAGTAACCTACCATGATCATACGTAACTACCATTATCTTATTAACCCTGCAATAATCAGACTCATTTAACTGCCATTATCTTGAGCACCATGCCATACCTGGAGTATACCTGAAAAAGGTTTGGGGGTCAACGCCCCCGCGGCCCGGTCTGTGACCAGGCCTTGGGATTATCATGCTCATATAATATTCTTTACCACACTGCCAGGACAATACTCAACTACCATTATCTTAACCACCCTGCCAGAACCACGCTCACATAACTACCATTATCTTAACCACCCTTCCAGAACCACGCTCACATTACCATTATCTTAACCACCCTGCCAGAACCACGCTCTCATAACTACCCTGCAGAACCACGCTCTCATAACTACCCTGCCAGAACCACGCTCACATAACTACCATTATCTTAACCACCCTGCCAGAACCACGCTCACATAACTACCATTATCTTAACCACCCTGCCAGAACCACGCTCACATAACTACCATTATCTAACCACCCTGGCAGAACCACGCTCTCATAACTACCATTATCTTAACCATCCTGCCAGAACCACGCTCTCATAACTACCCTGCCAGAACCACGCTCTCATAACTACCATTATCTTAACCATCCTGCCAGAACCACGCTCTCATAACTACCCTGCCAGAACCACGCTCTCATAACTACCCTGCCAGAACCACGCTCTCATAACTACCCTGCCAGAACCACGCTCTCATAACTACCCTGCCAGAACCACGCTCTCATAACTACCATTATCTTAACTACCCTGCCAGAACCACGCTCTCATAACTACCCTGCCAGAACCACGCTCTCATAACTACCACTGAGTTCTCAACCCTCAAGTCTGGCAGGTTCATTCTTGCAAAACTATTATTTTTATGCTATCATGATCATATCAGTAGTCCCAAGACTACCTTTAAAAAACTCAGAATTATATATCTAAGTAAAATAGCATAAAATTATTTAAAATACGAAGATAGCAGATCCTGTCCGTGTCAATGTAATAATGAAATACAGGACAGACTCTTATAAATGTGTTTTATGCACATCTCGACCAGGGGTCTCCACACTTCTCACTATGAAGGCCATTTCGTATTTTTTACACATTTTCGAGGCCAAAGAAAACTAAAATCAGTCTATAAATATAAATGAATGAATCAAATTTAAATGAATAAGTTTCATTTGGATCCTTTTTGTAATTAGCAGCAGATGATTCAGAACAGAAGAGAAATGTAACAATTACGAAGAAACAATACAGTGCTAACACTGAGAAATGATACACGAGTTAAAATGTCAAACATAAGCTAATATAAGCTAATAGAAGCTAATATAAGCTAATATAAGCTAATAGAAGCTAATGCTCTGACAGTTTAATCAATTATTGAACTGCAGTTAATAAAAGCTGGCACCAGATTAATTTGCACCAGATTAATTTGCAACAGCCTGGTTGATCAGGCGCTGATCCACCAGGAGGCCTGGTCACAGACCGGGCCGCGGGGGCGTTGACCCCCGAAACTCTCTCCAGGTAAACTCCAGGTAAACAATATTAATGGGGATGAAGGAACTGGTATTTTAATTTTAAATTATTGCTAAACTGAATTTTCAAGCTTGAGTAGACAGTTGTTAGAATGAACTTCAAATGCTCATCAGATAAATTTATGCGATATTTGCACTTGACATACATTATCTTTTAAAATGATTGTCAATATTTATTAATAACGTCACAAAACATACTCAACCCCTGCCAATTTGGATTCAGGAAAAATAAAAGCACTAATGATGCAATTATAAAAATGCTAGACCTGCTTTACACAGCATTAGAAAATAAGGAATATCCGCTAGGAATTTTTATTGACCTAAGAAAAGCGTTTGACACAGTTGACCATGGCATCCTACTCCACGAACTTGACCACTATGGTATAAGAGGCCATGCGCTTGCATATTTTAAATCCTACCTTTCTAATAGGTATCAGTATGTCACCATTAAAGACACAGCCTCATCAATACGGCCACTTGATACTGGAGTTCCGCAGGGAAGTGTCCTTGGACCCCTGCTCTTCCTCATTTACATCAATGATCTTCCAAACATATCCCAACACCTGAAACCCATTCTCTTTGCTGACGACACGACTTATGTCATCTCCCACCCTAATCTTGCCGCCCTCAACACCATTATTAACGAGGAGCTGCTCAAAATTTCGACTTGGATGACAGCCAATAAACTTACGCTTAACACTGGCAAAACCTGCTATATTATGTTTGGTAGCAGAGCAGGAGATGCGCAACTTAGCATTAAGATCGACAACACTCTAATTGCCAGACATAATGAGGGCAAATTCCTAGGCCTATACCTCGACAACAACCTAAATTTCAGCACCCATATCCAACACATAACAAAAAAAGTATCCAAAACTGTGGGGATCCTCTCCAAGATACGATACTACGTGCCGCAAACTGCCCTTCTCACACTATACCATTCACTTATATATCCATACCTCACCAATGCTATCTGTGCCTGGGGTTCAACTGCAGCAACACACCTTAATCCAATAATAACCCAGCAAAAAGCCGCAGTAAGAAAAATCACTAAATCCCATCCCTGGCAACGCCCCCTCCCCCTCACCCTTCATAGATTTAAACTTACTCCCTGTTCAGAACATCCACACTTACTACTGTGCAATCTATATCTACAGGACCTTAAATTCCAATATTAACCTTGACCTAAAACGCTTTCTTGATAGTTGTGACAGGATCCACAGGCGTAACACCAGACACAAACATCTCTATGACATTCCCCGTGTTCGACTAAACCTTTACAAAAATTCAATGTATTTCAAAGGACCTAAAATCTGGAACACCCTACCTGAAAATTCTAGAACTGCAGACACATTCATCACTTTCAAAACTACAGTTAGAAAACATCTTATCTGCCTGATCCACCCCGACAACTAACTACATGATAACCACCTGGTGGTTCACAATTACACTCACTTACCCACTGACTATAAACCCAGAAATACTAATCTTAAAATAATAAATCCTAACTAGTCATAAGTTTGCCTATGATACTCCAATATAGACACTTTGTATTGTGCCAAAACAAAAGCATTCACATTGCTAAACTCACAAATTATGATGTAGTCACTTAGCCTTAATATCATAATCTGTAAGGATTTAATGTTAAGATTTAATCTAAGTCTGCTCGAAATGCCTAGCCATGCTAGGTGTCCTAGTGGCCCCCTCTGTAATTAGTATTTTATAACATGTAAACCACACAATACCCAAAACCTGTAAACCCCACATTGTAACTCTTATAGAGAATAAACTTGAAAGGTACATTGTACCAAAAACTGATATGAGTTCACAAGCAAATAACTTCAAATATGGTAACTGTTCAGGCTGTAAAGATTGATATAACTTATCAGATTTTCTTGTTTATACTAGCAAGGCCTCACTTAGATTGTGCATCACGGTGTTGGTCGCCATACTACACAATGGATATAAATTCATTGGTGAACATTTAGAGAAGAATGACAAAATTAATCCACTGTATAAAGAATCTCGCATATAAAGATAGACTGAGAACTCTGGTTTAGAAAGACACGTGAGCAAACACTTGGACATATTTATTAGAAAACATTTTGGTCCTAGAACCTTGATTACTTCTAACATTCAGAGGTTAAAAAGACAGTATATATATATATATATTATATATATATATATATATATATATATATATATATATATATATATATATATATATATATATATATAAATAGTGAGAGCGAGGTGCAAGTGACACAAGGTGACCTGAACACTGCCTTTTTTGGACGAGGACAGGTAGAAAATGGGATCATATGACTCCTGCATTGTTAGATGGTGCTTTGCCTAGCTGAGTATCATGTATGCTAATTTTGACATTTTTAAGCTTCCAGTTTTATGTTCTATGGTGTCGGTGATGGTCATTAGCGAGGCTTCCAGCCATTGTCGACGTCTAAGATCTTGTTCAGTGAGGTTGAGATGTGCCTCATTCTGGTTCATCAAATGTCCCGTGGAGACTCGTACGTAAAGTGGTAGGTAAATCCTGAGTGTAAGGAGTATATTTCAAGAGAGGGGATAATCTCTAATTGAATTAAGTATACAAAGAGGTATAGATGAATGGTTCAGAGAACCGACATGTTGATAAATTTGACACATGTGCAACTCTTGGGTATCTTTATTGAGGAAACGTTTCGCCACACAGTGGCTTCATCAGTCCATACAAAGGAGAATCGTGAAGAACAGGAGGAGAATGAGGTAATCAGTGGCGCTGTTGTGATCCTTGAAAGTGAAATCCTCAGACATTACCACTTCCAGGTCCCTCACATTATTTTTCCGCTCTGTTGTATGATCCGAGTTTGTAGTATACTCAGTTCTAGTTACCTCCTCCAGTTTTCCATAACAGAGTAGCTGGAATTTGTCATCATTGAACATCATTTTTTTTTCCGTTCCCCCAATGGAAAAATTGGTTTACATCTTCTTGGGGGTTAACCGTGTCCCCAATAGATAAGTCTCATGCAGATCCCAGTATCGCTGCAAAGGATGTGGGGTGGGTTACATCTTTATTATATGTTATGAGAATGAGGAAAGGATGGGGGGAGTACTGTCCCCTTTTGGATAGGCTTGTCACTAGGCAGCTTCCCCTTTAACTTGTGGCCCTACTCTTTGTGTTCGTTGGTAGAAAATTGAAAAATCCACCTCCCCCCTTTGCCAGTTACTCCCCAGCCGTATTTTGTGCGTTATTCGCCATGTAATATTGTCAAAACATTTTGTAAAGTCTGTTTATTTTCATCTGCATTTTTTTTCTTCCAGTGCTCCAAGACCTGTCAGTGATCCAGGTTTCAAGGGGGAAGGAACGACCCGCTCGAAGCCTGTTGCCCCGATTTGAATTATTATTATTATAATCAAAAGAAGACCCGGATTGTGAAGTTTTTAGGAATCAATGGTTTTTCAAACATGCTTTTAGCAAATCTTTCAAAGATTTTTATTATTGGGGGTTAGAGCTATTGGTTTATTTGTTTTTTGCCAAAAGTTGCGCCACCTTTATGGAGTGGGGCTATATCCGTTGTTTTAAGTGATTGTGGAATTTCACCCACTTAGGGTACACAAAAGGGGTTTCTTGCAGTTCTTAATGAAAACAGAGTTCCACGAGTCTGGGCCCGGGGCTGAGTGCAGGAGCTGTTGTCAATGGCTTTCTCAAAGTCTATCGGAATTAGAGTAATGTCAGAAATCTGGCATACACTGGTGGAGTTTTGAGGCTCATTCATGAAAAAATCATTTAGATTGTCGATCTTTAGACTGGTTAGTGACTCGCTAAACACTGAGTTGTATTGGGATTTCAGTGTCTCACTCATTTCTTTGTCATCTGTGTAAGTCCCATCTTGTCTGAGCAAGGCCCCGATACGAGGTGTGGTATTTGCCTTGTTTTTGGCATATGAAATGAACTATTTCAAATTTCTTTTAATTTCACTAATCGCTTTTAGCTCCTCATGTCTCTCCTGGGTCCTGTAAGAGTCCATTAACTTCAGTTCGATACTTTCCACTTCCTTGGTCAGTGTTTCCTTCTGTGTATCGGATAATCCTGCGTTCTTGAGGAGCTCAGTGATTCTTCGTCATCTTCTGTAGAGGGAGCGTCTTTCTCTCTCCAGTTTTCTTTTTCACTTCTTCTTTCTTAGGAGAATATCCCTTGAACACACTTCAGTTGCTAGGAAGTTGATCCTTTCAAGGCACTGGTTTGGATCCATGTTATTGAAGATATCTTCCCAACATCTTTCATTTAAGACATGGTTCACCTGGTCCCACTTGATGTTCCTGTTGTTGAAGTTGTATTTGGTGAAGACACCTTCACAGCTATGTGCATTTTGCTGATCAGGACCCCTGTGCATGTAAGTCTGAACTTCAATTAGATTGTGATCAGAATTAGTTGTTTTTGATATTGTTATGTCTCTTATCAGGTCCTCAGTATTTGTGAAGATAAAGTCATATGTGTTTTCCAGTCTTGTTGGCTCCACTATCTGCTGACTTAGGGTGTGTTTATCGCAGAGACTTAGTAGCTCATGTGTGTGTGACCTTTCATTTGTGCTGCTATAACATTATTTGCTACATTCTTCCATTTTATATGCCTCAGGCTGAAATCACCAAACAGTAAAATGTTTGGAGATGGAGATAAAAGGCTTTCCAGACAGTAATCAATTTTCAGTAGCTGTTCCTTGAACTGTTAGAGGTTGCATCTGGTTTCGGTTCTCGATCTTTATTGTTAGAACTTCAACTATATCATTAGCAGTGTTCAGCATCTCCATGCAGATGAGCGACTCTGACATACAGGCCAACTCCCCCCCCACCCTTTTGTTGCCTGTTCTTTCGGTCACATCTGAAAAGGTTGCACCCATATATCCGTATTACGTTGTCAAAGTGATCTTTTGTGTGGGTCTCTGTGAAGGCTGCAAACATAGCATTTGACTCCCCTAGAAGTCCACTGATAAAAGGTAATTTGATGTTAGTGGCTGGCTTAAGGCCCTGTATATTAGCAAATATAAACGAGGTTGTATTTTCTGTTTGTTAGGAGGATTTTGTTATTGATATCATTGTGGTTCTGGAGGGCCATAGAGGGGCCACTGACTGTGCCTCCAGTCCATCAAGGCTCCAAGGTGGTGGACTACTTTTGTTATTTCCATCCACTTTATTCGTTTCCTGCCACTAAATAATCACTTGGAGTGGGGTTGTCGTAAACTATTGTTTGTCTTGTGAGGTCTGTACCTTCTGGTCCCTTTTAGATGGTATGCAGGGCAGCTGGTGTTGTAGAACTGTTTTGGAGGACCGAAGAGTGGCATATTTCTAGGTGAAAGAATTTACAGGAGGGAGAACGACACAATCCTTTAGACAGGAGGTCACGACATTTTTTGGGATGCTCAAATTTGCATGTCCCATTTGTTTTTCCTGATATTCCATGCTTACAGATGCCACAAACATAGAATTTGCACAATTTTGCTTTTGGTTGGGTAGAACTTTTGGTAGGTGTGTTCTCAATTTGTCAGTTTCCCAGGGCTGCACTATAACCTCATAAAGGGGCAGCCACCCCGTCCTCCCTTTCCCCGAAAAATTTTTCCCCCCAAAAAAAAATTCTTCCCCTACATCTGTAATTTGGTATATGTCTTTAACAATTTTTGGAGTTATTAAAGGTTTTAGTGGTGACCGTATTAGAGTCCCTAGCAGGTCCGGGCTGGCAGTAAGGTCGGGGGGTGAGTCTGATCACACGGGGTGGGGGCTGACCCGGGCAGTAACAAGGACGGGCTAGGGGTCGGGGTTTTTTTTTTGTTGTGGATGGGCACGCTTTTTTGGTCACCCTCCTTTTTCTCCTCCCATGTTTTATATACTTTGGGAACTGCCAAGAGTTCACCAGTATTTTTTTTGCTTTTTTTATTTTTTATTTTCCCCCCTTTTTACCTTTCTGTACCTGCCCCAAAATTCTATATCTTTTCTGCACAACCCAAAACAAACCTTGCTAGTTCGAGGTCATTTTTTGAGGCGGTGTTTGGAGGGAAGTGCAGTGAGTGTACTCTGAAGGAGGGATGGGAATATTGCAGTTTAGAGGATCATCTGAACTGTGATGTCAGTATGCTTCTGGTAAGATAGTGAGTAAATAAGTTACAGTGAAGTGTTTTCTTTGAAAGTTAATTCTACATCATTGGGAGACGGTCAGAGTGTTAAAAATTATAATGTCACTACACAAATAGCCCGCACAGAGGTGAATTAATGTGCGTATTTATGTGCATTGTTCCAGTGATGGTACTGTGCGATTTTATACTTTATAATGTCATTGCTAGTATGTTTAATATATTATGTCTGCTGGTACTACTGCAGATACTATTAGTACTAATACTCACTGGAGAGGTATGTGGACATGCAGCTTCGCCAGTAATGGTCCAGCCCATGGCCCGGGGCACAGGATCACCACATTAGCTCGCACTGTGCCTCGTGGTCCCCTCACTTCAGCTGACTCCTCGGTTGTCACCAAGATATCATCAACAGGCCAGTTGTCCACTATGATCCCCTGACTCTGACTGAAGACTTTCTGTCGGGGATGTAAGAATATGACCATAATGAATAGGATTATAGTTTGACTAGTGTCTGAGCTACAGTAATTTAATAATAAGCAAATACAATGAAATATTTTCTTTTGTTTCTTTAGCATCACTGTTTCCACTTGACCAACAATCCTTAAATAACAGGTGCTTAGCAGTACTATGTTTTCCCTGACGCAAGGACATCCATGTGGTCGTGGAGCCTCAGACTTATTTCGATCTCATCTTGTTTGGTGCGCCAGCCAAAATTACAAGTTTTATTTATTTGGGACAACATATATAATATATATATATATATATATATATATATATAAAATATATATATTATAATATATAATATAAGTAGTGCTGAAAGGGGGCCCCAGTGGCTCCTGCGGCAGAGTGGCTTCCTTTCCTGAGCGGGCTCTGTGGCAGAGTGGCTTCCTCCTGGGAAAAAGGGGGGCGGCTGAGTGGCTCCCTTTCACACCTATATGCTAATACCTTAACCCCGCCACCCCCCCACCCATGACCCCACCCACGACCCCCACCCATGAAACCCCACCCACGACCCCCACCCACGCCCCCACCCACGACCCCCACCTGCACCCCCACACCGCGCCCCCGCGCCCCCCACCCCCCCCAGCCCCCGCCCCCCGCGACCCCCACCCGCCCCCCCGGGCCCCCCCACCCGCGCCCCCAAAGCCCCCCGCACACCCCGCCCATCGCGCCGACCCAGCTGCCCACCCGCGCCCCTCACGCCCGCCCGTGCCTTTTGCTGCACCTTCTGCAGCGTCGTACGGATTGCCCCCGAGCCCCGAATTTTTTTCCGATTTTTTCGAATTTTTTTTTAATTTTCTTGTGCTCTCCTTGGATCAAATTTTTGAGGTTCCCCCCACGTTCACCCCCACCCCAATTTTTTTTTTCTCGATAATGCAAAGACTCCATCTCCTCGGATCAAATTTTTGAGGTTCCCCCCACTTTCACCCCCATCCCACCCCCACTCCCCGAATTTTTTTCCAATTTTTTTTCATTTTCTTACGATCTCCATCTCCTCGGATCAAATTTTTGAGGTTTCCCCTCCCACTTTCACCCCCCCATCTCCTTGGATCAAGTTTTTCTCGATAATACAAAGACTCCATCTCCTTGCATCAAAGTTTTTTCTCGATATCATCAATACCAAGACTCCATCTCCTTGGATCAAGTTTTTGGGTACCCCTCCTTCTACCCCCAAAATTTCTCCTCCATCTCCTCGGATCAAGTTTTTCTCGATATCAACAATACCAAGACTCCATCTCCTCGGATCAAGTGTTTAAGGTTCCCCCCTCCCACTTTCACCCCCATCCCAAGTATTTCTCCTCCATCTCCTTGGATCAAGATTTTTCTCGATAATACAAAGACTCCAATTCCTCGGATCAAATTTTTCTCGAAATCAAAGTCTCCATCTCCTTGGATCAAGCTTTTCTCGATAATACAAAGACTCCATCTCCTTCGATCAAAGTTTTTCTCGATAATACAAAGACTCCATCTCCTCGGATCAAGTTTTTGGATTCCCCCCTCTCAGGGTAAGCATTCAAATGAACTCCTCCTATGGGGGCATGGTACTTTCTCTTACTTACAGGGCTAAACAAGTGTGACGTCACCCCACCTGTGTTTACTCGGTGATCAGTGACGTCACGTGATGACCTCACACATACAGGCTGAATCTTGTCGACTTCCCCCTATGTCAGTGACGTCACATGATGACTCCACACACACACACACAGGCTGAATCTTCTCGACTTTCCCATCTCAGTATTACACATTTCATATACAACATAAAGGGGAAAAAATTTTCACTCTTAACCCGGATAACCCAAATAATTTTACATTTTTTCGTTAATACCCACATCAATCCACAATTCTTTACAAAATAAACACAAGTCTAGACATTTTTCTCTTTTAAAAACTATTCCTCTCAGGTCACTCCCACGAAGTAACCTTCTCTCCTCCTTCTCCCCACCCTCCCGAACCCCCCACACTTCCACCAACCCTACAATTTTCACTCATAACCCCCCAAATTTTTTCCCTTTTAACTATTTCATCAGAAAAAATCCCCCACAAAACTTAAAATTTTAAAAAACTTTTTATTAATTCACTACACAATTTTTTCATATTAAAGAATTTTAATTTCGCCACAAAACCCCCCTTTACTTTGAACACCCCCCCAAAAAACTTCTTTAAAACAAATTTAATACTCACAAAAATACCCCTTTTAAAATTTCCCCAAAAAAACAATGAAACACTTTCCAAAACAAACAATTTTTGGGGGACTCCCAAATACAACCGAATATAAAAAAACACCACTGAAACAGTCAAAAAAAACAACCAAAAAACACCCTAAAATAAGATAACATCACAGACTAACACCAATTTTTTACACAAAACCCCTCCCAAAACACTAAAAACCAAGGGCGCCCACTCACCCCAAATAAGATATAACATGAATTTTCAAAAAAAAATGAACACAATCCAAACACACACGAAAACTCCCCAACCCAAATTTTTTTTTCCCCGTTTTAAAAAAATTTTCAAACAGAAAAAACCCCAACAACAACCCACTTATAAAATCTCTTTTTTTGGTAAACTCTAGTTCGGAAAAAACACCCACACCCCACAATTTTTTTCGTTTAAAATAATTTTAACAGAAAGTCACAACAACCCACAAATTAAAAAACCACTTTTCAGCATTTTCTAGTTCGACAAAAAAACACCCCCAACCCAAACACCCCCATCCCCCAACCCCACATCCCACATCACCCACAAACCCCCCCAACAAATACCCACAACTTTAAACCAATTTTTTTGGAAACGTAGTTCGACAACAACACCCCCCCAACCCCCCAACACCCACAATCCACAATTTTTTTTTCTCGTTTTTAAAAAAATTTTATCAAAAAAAGGGCACAACAACAAAACCCCCTTTAAAAATAGGGAGGCCAAGCCCATTGGGCACTCTTTAGGTCACTTGTTCTATCTAGGCTGGAGTATTGCTGCACCAAACAGCCCTTTTAAGGCGGGTGAAATTGCCGACCTAAAAAATGTACAGAGAACTTTCACGGCGCGCAAAACGGAGATAAAACACCTCATTATTGGGGGACTATTAGGGACATCCCGAACTTGCACACGAAAATCACCACTACAAAAAGCAAAACTTGCGACGATGCCCCACCCCCCCAAATAAAAGGGGGGTGTCCCCTACACGTTAAGGGAACCAACAATAAGTGTCAGGGGCCCGAACTGTTAACTGCCCCCCAGCACACAAAAGGGGGATTACCAACAACCCCTGGCATTCTTCAAGTGGCACGGACAACACCTAAAGTCGTTCCAGATCACCGGGCGTGGTCGAAACGTTGGTTTGCGTGCACCAGCCAACAGGGGGGGGTTGATCAGGCTTACCCCCGGGAGGCCTGGTCACAGAGGGGCCCGGGGGCTTGACCCCCGGAACTTCTCCAGGTAAATCCGGGAAAACTCAAAAACATTTTTCGATATTTTAGTTCGAAACAACACCCACAACCCACAAACCCAATCCCACAACCCCAAAACCCCATATCACCATCAACCCCAATTTTTTTCCGTTTTAACTAATTCATCAGAAAAAGTCACAAAACAACCCACTTAAAATCTTTTCGATATCTCTAGTTCGCAACAACCCCCAAAACCCCACATCACCCACACCCCACAAAACACCCCAACCCATATCACCATAAAAACCCCAAAATTTTTTTTCTCGTTTTAACAAATTTTATCAAAAAAAGTCACAACAACAACCCACTTAAACATTTTTTTTTCGGATCCTAGTTCAAAAAACCAAACCCACAACCCCAACACCCACATCCCCAACCCCCACAACCCACAACACCCCACACCCCCAATTTTTTTTCTCATTTTAAAAAAAATTTTTAAATCAGAAAAAGTCAAAAACAACAACCCCTTTAACATTTTTTTTGGGTACTTAGTTCGACAACCCCAAAACCCAAAAACACCCAACCCACAACACCCACACCCACATCCCCACAACCCACAACACCCACAACCCACAAACCCACAACCCAGCCCCCAAAAAAAAACCCATTATAACATTTTTTCGGATCTCTGTTCGAAACAACACCAAAACACCCACACCCACAATACCCCAACCTCATACCACAACCCACAACACTCACAAACCCAAAATTTTTTTTTCTCGTTTAAAAAAAATTTTTTATCAAAAAAGTCAAAACAACAACCACTTATAACAACTTTTTTGGTACTCTAGTTCGAAAACAAAACCCACAACCCACAACACCCCACAACAACACCCACTTATAACATTTTTTTGGGCATCTCTTTTTCGACAACAATACCCCAAACCCCACAACCCCCACAACCCACATACCCCAACAACAAACACTTAAACGTTTTTTTCCCGGTACTCTATTCGACAACAACACCACAACCCCAAACCCACAACTCACAATTTTTTTTCTCGTTTTACTAATTTCATCAAAAAATCACATCAACAACCCACAACTTTAACCACTTTTTCGGAATCATTGGCAGACATCCCCATCCCCCAATGAAAAGCAGGGGTGCACAGCACGTTAAGAGACCATACAATAAGTGTCAGGGGCCCGAGACTTTTCAACTGCCCCCAGCACCCCATAAGGGGGATTCCCAAAACAGAACCCCTGGCAGTTTTCAAGCGGCCCACTGGGAAAGCCCCAAAAGTCTTCCTGATCAGCCGGGCTGGGCTCGTCGTTGGTTTGCGTGCAGCCAGCAGCAACACCTGGTTTTCAGGCGCTGATCCACCAGGGGGGCCTGGTCACAGCCGGGCCCCGGGGGGGTTTTCCCCCAAAAAACCCCTCCAGGAAACTCCGTAAAAAATCCCCAACACCCCACAACCCCATCACCCAAAACAACCCACTTTATCATCTTTTTTTTTATCTCTAGTTCGACTGCATTACCCACAAACCCCCATCACTTACCAATTTATTTACAATTTATTCGATACAAAATTTTTCCCCTTTTTTTTTCT